GGTAATTGAATTATTATAGAGTTAGGCTGTAAGCTGATTTGTTTTACGACATTATTTAATTAATCATTTCGAAACGAAAACACATTTTGGAATTTCGGTTGACATTTCATGCGTTAGCCCGCTTTACACGCAAAACAACTTCATCAGTATGGACATCGACAAAGATATGCAAGTTGTGCGTACTAATGAGATGATCATTTCCAACGATTTAGATCAACGAGGAGGGCCGTAAATATGCTGCATAAGGACCCAGCCCTCTCACGCACGATATGTTGATCCATACTACAACCCCACATGATTTGCATACGAAAAAACCCCATAGCAGTCCTCTAAATGAACAAAAACCTCACAAATTAATTCAGAAAATTGAATTAAGAGGAACCTTCATCAACAGGCGTAATTGGACTTCACAATGCATGACTCTGAAGTTTGAAAACTAATTGGCTGGCTGGATTCTTCTCGGGACAGGCTGCGATGGTCCCTTCTTTGCGTGACCTTTATGGTCTTACTGTAAAACATGTGTTCAGAGTCGCCCTTTAAGAAGTTCGGTTCTCATCATTTAGGCCAAGTCGTGTTTGGCGCGCGTAGACGGGCCATTAAGCTTTGTCAGCCAATTGGCCCGAGTTCACCCGAGCATTGTTTTGTTGTGGTATAGAGAGAGAGAAAAAAGTGGAATTGATGGCCCGCAAGACGCCGATCATTCGCGCATTGCGTGGGTCACCTAGGCTACGTCGTCGCTTGCAGGGTGAAGTGGCGTTCTTAAGTGTCTCGTGGACTGCCGTTCCAATGCGTCAAATCGACCCGTCTGGGCGCACTGAATTACATAGTTTAGACCAGCTGTTTCATAAACACCAAAGCTGACTCAAAACAGTACCGAAGCACGTCAGAAGGTTCACTATTGCGGTTGATAAAGCAGTGATATCACTGGCATTTTTCCATTTGCTTACATCTATACCGATAGGCTTAACCAACGGTTGTGGTATCTGATTCTTTGAAGCCTACGCCGGGGATATGTATCCTTGCGGACTTCTCTAACTCGAAAAATTCCACCGATGCGTGTCGTTGATAAAATATAGAACTCTTAGTTAAAATTCTCTATGAGTCCTAACCTTTGCTTTGGTTTCCTGACAAAATTTGAAATTCTGAAGGCAGGAGAAAAAACTTTGGCCGCCTTATCTAAACAATACATGTTATTGTCAGGAAAATAATGCATAATAATCGCTACCATAGAGTCCCATGGATTAAACCTGTTCCTCAATGAAGGTTGATTGTTGGATTCACATACCGGATGTCCCCGTAGATCAACAGACTGACAGACCCTTGCGTACGTAATCTTGCTGCAGAAGTGCATGATGAAAAATAATTATCAGCTTTGAGAGCAAAAGTCCCTCCCTCTAATAATCCCTAACTCAAGATTAATTCACTTTAGGCCCCGAAAAGCCACTAAATTGGAATAATTTTCCTTTATAGGAAAGCATTGAGTACTCCCGTCAATTTGTGTGCTGGTGAAATATCTAAGGTTAAGGTCAGTTTTAGCTATCCGGAGATGCTCACGGAATGACAAATAGGATGACGTAATACCCAGGAAGTGCAACATATTTCCATAATCAGATTGTGAGTCCTTATGTGGCCTTCCTTAAGACAGGCCTAACCTTGACCGAAATATAGGAACAGAAGGAAACATCTGCACGCACTAGGCGAAGATGTACTGCGGACTGGTCCATGCGATTGGTCATAGGCATTTCGTTGATCGGTGTCTCGCTGACCGCCTGTCTTTATCGACCACCGATCGCAGGAGATGTAAGCTGAAATTATGAAATGGGTTTTCGACTAGGAATGCTTAACTAGGTGGATTTGTAATAGTAATTATCATGTGGCATTATTGGGCAATATATCAGACTCGTTAGTAAATTTCCCTCGGATGCACTGTTTTTGACCTCCGACAAAGACTGCGCTCGGTAAAAAATTATTATTTGAGTAGTATATATTTTTCGTATTGATTTAAAATGACTATAAATTAAGTATATTTCATGGCAATTTGCGCAAAGGCATGCTTTCGTCTACTCAATTGGTAACATATTACATAACCTTCATATTTTATACTCGTAGAAAGTGTAACTTTCCTGTTTATAAACCGTCTATTTATGAGATCTTGTAAGACTGTGCAATAGTGGTTCATACAGTACCGGACCTGGCCGTTTATCAATGTTCCTATGACTTATACAGAATAACCCGTATTAATTACAGAATTTCATGAAATATATGGAACCTTGTATTAGTGACACAAAGGAATATGTGACTTTTCTCACCTGATAAACGTGCACTTTGCAGACTGAAGTCGACAGACGCTGATGCAACGTCTGATCTGACTCAGAATTATTCGAAAATTAATAAAACTTTTTGAACATAACTGCACCCCTTTTAAGTGTAGAATGTGAAAAAGACGTGATTTGTTACCACAATGTGTAAATTAAAGCATGCGTTTGGCCAGTTTTCTATGAAATATATCTTAAGTTATAGGCTCCTCGAAAGTAAATGTAAACAATAAATATTACTTAAGCGGTCATTTTTTTACGGAGGTGGAAAATAAAGTGAATTCGAAAGCCGATATTCTTAGGCGTCGGGAATAGTAGACAATTTCTTCGCATGACACTCAGAATTAGAAGTCCGGCCAAATAACGTTTTCTAATCGAAAATGCATTCCCGAATTTTAGCTAACATTGCATGAGGTCGACCACGGATTATTTATGCAGGACAGAATACTGGCAAAGACGAGAGGGACTGCGATGGCCACTTCTGACTTATTAGCCCTCATCGGTGATCCTTTTCCGCTTCCAGTTTTAGCTTCACCTGAACTGCAGTACAACAAGCCAATGGCCGGGGGTTGGACTTTTAATCACCAGGTCGCGGGATCAAACCCCAGGTGTTATCCATTTCTGTGTTGCATATGACTGGCTAACGATAGTCAATAAACCAGAAATGGCCAAGCTAATCTCCCTTTTCTTTGTCGGTATTGCTACTCCAAACTTTTTCAGTTCAATGCTCTAACCGTTGATCCTTGAGGTCATTGTCCTGTCGGTTGTGGTTGCGTATATGCTTTCACAACTGAAAAGACAACAAAAATATCCGTTTTCCCGCTGTTTCATTAAGAAATATTCTTACATTTTGGTGGCCGAGAGCTTACATATAATTTCCACAATTCACTTTTTTTTATTTCTAAGTTAATGCGCTCACAATTCTCTTGAAATGCACGATTTTCAATGTCATTGAAAATCCAATTATATTTCATGGACAACTTGTATAATATTTTTCATTCTTTTATTTATCCTACAGAAAAATTCGGTTTCAAAAAGCGTTTTAAATTGTAAGTTTATTTAAAAGCGTGAAATAACCGTTCATAAAACGTCATGTATCTACGTTTACGAATGTACCTTGTAAAGTTAACACTATTGCTTGTGAGCACTATTGTTTGTGAGCCCCATATGGTCTCCTCATTTTCGTACAGAAATGCATGGTTTTCCGTAAACGGAAAATATACGGCTTGTAGTTTTGAAACCCTGAATGCAAGGTCGGATTCAAAATTATTCGGTGATTGCAAAAGTTTTCGAAAAGCAAAGTACACTCTTCTTTCGAATAAAAAATCGAAAGAAGACGTTCTCATCTACCCAATAAAGACATCGAAGATCAGTGCGAAAATTGCCTACTATTTAAGTAGTCATTTTTACAGAGTATAGTTCTTGCATGTGGTTGGAAATAATTTTTTGGGAAGCAGACACCCTGTGGTACCTAGGTCATTATAGAATTATGTTGCATGATGATAAGCTTTAAACCCTACTTAATTAATCTTTTCGAACCGAGAACGCATTTCGAAATTTTGGTTGATATTTCATGAGTTAGGCCAACTACTGTAGTTCTTTTAACTCTGTCTCACACATGTCGGGCTAAATAATAACCGGCCACCGAGAAGCCTGAGGTTTGTGAAAAGTGGTTTTTACTAATTTTGACATGGGACATTATGTCTGCAATTTTGACAATTAAAGGAATCCAGTTAATGTCCTCCGACCTTACGAACAATCAACTAATTTCACTCATTCGGGCCTGAAATCATTCACTGCACACGTTGATGGTCTTTATTATGAATTCTAAATCATACCGTGTCTTTTACTAGACACCCTGATATTTCTTCTCGCCAAGAGGCTATTTTGCATAACTCACCATCTGCTAATACTACCTGTCAGATAAGCGAGGTTTTTTTCCAAACCTTGTTGACCATTTTGCAGGCATGTGAGCTTCTGTTTACATGAGAAGTCTTTTTTTGGGGACCACTCCCCTCGGCTCTCAAAATGCCTGCCAGCTCACGTTATACGACAACGACGACGACTCTGGTTAGATTTGAACGCCAGTGCAATCAGTCGTGTACACAGGCTAGGCCCACATGCCAGGCACACGTACGCAGTTTGGTGATCATATGTGGCGCTGAGGATGGGTCGATAGTGCACTGGCGACATCTGTGCGCCATTGAGAACTCGCGTAGAGCGCCAGTCATAGGTGCATCTGCATTTCGCGCACACATTCGCACACACACCTAGGAGGTCAAGCAACGAATGCGCACACCTCCCGGTGAGAATACTGCGAAACCTCCAATTGCTGCTGTCCGCTAGGTGCTTTAAATTCGGCAGAACCCCCCGCTTCGTCGCAAAGACGCAGGCTCGCCCTTTTTCGCAGACACTCACACCATGAGCACAAGGATGGAAATCAAGCCCCTGAAGGCGGATATGCCAAATGACATGCAGAATTTTATTGTTAACCAAGTGGAGGGCCAGCTGAGCCAGTTCGACCAAAATCCCTCCATGGAACTCAATCTGGAGCCCGTCGTGCAACGCTTGGCGGACGCCCTCAAAAAACAGTACCAGGGTGTCTGGCAAGTTGTCGTCATCAACGGCACCTACTCAGCCTTCTCCGCTTACGTGCCGCAGCGTCTTTACCACGTGAAGGTCGGCCGTTTCGTCGTTCTTGCCTGGCAGTCCTCTTCCTACTGATTTGGCGTTAGTAGTAAATGACACCTAGCAGTCCCATCATCGTCCAGCGCCTTATCATTCCAATCCCAAACCCTAGTCCAACAACAGAACGCTATGAAATCCCACCCACGACCTTCAAGAATGTTCAATGGCAATGTATGTGTGCGTTCTTATATGCTTGCATGTTGCAACGAGTGAAGATTGAAATAGGGTTTTCTTAATTTCGCAGACATACGCATTATCAATAAATCCTTTGTCTCCTAATATGCTATTTAATAAAGAGTATCTGCATCATAGCGCACGCCTTAATTTATTTACATCGACTTTGGCGACACATCAGCATTAACTTTTTGCGCTTAAATCCTGCCGGAAGTGTTAGACTCATAGATCAATTTACTGCTCACTAGGTGGTGTAAAGCAAAAGTTAGGCTCCCATAGGAGTAGTTTGGTTATTATCGATCTTGACCAAAAAGTCACCGAGAACTAGGGAACCAGCTTTGGATTCTGACAGTGAGCCAAGCGCCAAGTGTTTAATGACGACGTTTCTGAAAATGGGATCATTGACCCTCATATCTGGCAAAAGAAGCGTATTAGTTGCACGACGCCGTAGTGAATTCTCAGAAGAGAATCGTGGTTCGTTTCCTTAAGAATACCACAGAAAATCTCAACTTATAGTATAGAAAGCTCTCGGCTGTCAATGTTATCTAACATGCGGTATAAGGCGGTATTTCCTTGCCCAGCTACCTGTTGAAATCTGTCTTGTTCTTGTCATGCAAACACAGATTGGGGTTGTAATTCATTGTATGTAATCATTCATTTATAGAAAGAAAAACTACTAAGATCAAGCGTTTTGTGCGCTACTGATTGTACCAACTATCGCGATATATCAGTTGACGTAGCAAATAGCAAATACACCTCTTCTGCAATCGCTTGGAACCTGTATTTTAGCCGCGGTCGTTTCCAACAGCCTATCCTGCAAATCAAAACAAGTCCTGCCCGGTCAAGTCTGATTTTAGCCTACCAAATTTTGGCTTCCCCAAGATAGTACCGAAATCGATGTTTCATTCGGTTACTCTGCGTGGCCTACTCCCGTAATACCAGCTCAAGCATAATTATTCACCTGACGCTTGGGCCAATTCTGACACTCGCTTTTGGGGAGGCTTTCAACGCTCCTGTAATCTCAAATCTAGAGCTAAGCTTGCAATTCGGTAAGGCTGACCCGTTGCGATCGGCTATTGTTCCCCGAAGTTGATTCAGTAATTCCAAAGATGGCATCTAAAAATGTTTGCTTACGTCTGTATAATTAAATGGCTCAGGGTGGACCGATGCATGTAGCGCCCCTCGGTTGAGTTTTCTGCGAACTGTAACTTCACTCGCGACACCAAGTTGACATACTGTTCACGTAGAATCTGCATTGTGCTCTCTCAAGGTCAACGCTCTATTGGCAGGTACGACTCGTATGTCTTTTTGGAGAGGCGATATTGCGAAAAAATACGAAAGTACCAAAAGTGCAATCTGCAGGCATATAATATACAAAAATTATTTTTGAGTTTTCCTGGGGGCGGTAGTTGTGGGAGGGGGTGTTAATGCCGTCGTGTGGATCCTGGCCCACGTGATGCAGCGTGGGAAAATACAAAAGAACCCAGTCTCATTAAATAAAGCATCTGGAAAATGTATTCAAGTCGTACTGATGACAGAACCAAACATAAAAATATTTATGAACTTTCAGACAATGTAATTGGCACATGGAAATTCAAGCCCCTGTGAAACCGGCCCTCGCCTTAAATTAGGCGTGGATGGCGCCAAGTAGCTAGCTGTTGCAGTTTAAACCATCAGGAAGCATGGGGAGTGTGAGAACTGTTTGGCTCGCTGTGAGTGAGATCCTGGATTTTAAAAATGGCCCGGTTGCAAGACAGCGAGGAGTACTATGATGCAACGAGTCGGTAGTTTGCAACTCCCCCCAGCATAACAGGCAGACCTGGTAAGTATATTGCGGCAGCGGTCTTGCCATCAAGGCAAATTCCTTGAAATGAAAAATGAGGTTGACACGGGTGAAATTAATAAACTTTGCTCTGTAGCTCCGAATAAGAGATCACAAAGGGAGTCATCACGCTACTTACATAAAACAATATATAACCGCGGCCAGTCGACCGATGATTATAATCCGGCATCAGTTGGTCATTCTTATAAAATCGACACTAGATGTGATGCTTCCTAACGACATTATTGTCCTATGTTGTGACAACAAGTAAAGCACTTTGGTGTTGCTTTTGGGCTGCGGACTCAGAACCCACGAGAAGCGCTGGCTTTCGTCAAATTATAACGACAATTTTACGTTAGGCGCCTGTGAAACTAATCAGGAGAAATTGGGTGTTGAAGGCCCCTTAAGCTGTCAGCATCGTTTTAGGGGTTTTGGTGACGTTCGGACATTTGGCAGGCTTGTAAATGACATTCAGCTAGCTAAAGCGTCCCTACGGGTTCGCATCCTGAAAGTTCGCCCCGAGTAGAGTCCACAAGATAAAGGGAAATTGCGTTTGGACAACTGTCAACTGCCTTTCGCAAATCAGAGGGAGTTTCAGCGCTGTAAGTACAATTCAGTTCAAATACGAGTATGAAGTTATCCCAAGACTACGTCTGTGTGTGCAGTCCAGAAGGGAGTAATCGACAAAAATAAAAGGACGGCAATAATAGGCCCGAGTGATTTAAGTCTTCCCTGATTAGGGGAAAAATGCGAATATTGTCTTGGACACCAAATATTGAAGAGTACGTGAAGGCAGCATTCTGTCCTACATCTATATAAGTCTTATGTACCAGGACTCATTATTACAGTATACACCGTCTTGTGATGCCAAACGGTCTCGCAGAAAACTGTGAATTTAACTGTACTTACACTTTACAAACTTAAATACATCCTGTTTGGCAAATGGTTTAAACGTACTGTTTGGAAATCTTCATCGTAAACGACGAAGCATTGGACATTTGAAACGCCCAGTAAATCAAGAACTCAGATTCGAATTCTAGATCCAGTAAACCTTGAAACTAGGTAAGACTGGCTAACGGCACTTGATAGACCAAAAATGGCCATCCCAGGCGCCGCTGACATTGCTGATATTATTACATACATATATGTCTGCATGTCGATAGGGCGGAGACAGAATGTAAGAGTGGTTTACAGGGGATTATTTAGGAGGTACCTTGCCTCCAGTCGACAAATTTGAATCGCGATTATTATATTTATTATTATATATTATTGCATTATATTATAAAATATACATTATATAATTCTGCCTATAATGTGGTTGTAGGGGGGTGCACGCGTACAAATAGAATGGCATACTAACGGAGTCTAGAAGATAGGCGATAACAATTGCATCGAAAGCAATGTTCACTAATAGCCCAAGATATGGCACTTCCTCATTGGCTGCTTAGACGTACGTTTTTTTTAAGAAATACGTCCTATTGGAAAGTCAACGTGCTTAATTTCGAAAACGCTCAATGCTCTTTACGCATACCGTCAACAAACAAACTGTTAAAGTGCGGGAAGGATTGAAATTTAAATTTCCAATAAGTAAATGCTGCCCTATGGTTTCGACCACTAAATCATTGCTGTGCACTTGCATCTTTGTTTAAACTAAATGCCGCGTAAACAATTATTCCTCAAGGTTGTTTTAGCCAGTCTTCCACATGCCGCTTGATACGCGATTCAAATGAGGGTATTGCTTACGCGAAAATGTTCGCGGTCCGTTTTCTATGCCTTGGCATGAACGATGCGAATGTACTTTGTGTTCCAGCATATGAATGACAACCTGAGACAAGTGGACGCTTCTTCTGCCGCCAAATGATGCCCTTGAATGATTGTAGAGGGTCACTGTTCGGTCTGTCGGCCGTTTACTGCACTGAAAGCCCTGCGCATAATATTGCAGTCTATATCTCTTATAGGAAAATAAGCAGCTCTATCTCTAGGGTGTAAAAGTTGGGTGGTTAGTGTAACCACTTGCATTTGGTGCTTCCATGCGTGTCTTTTAAGGATTCGTACGCATTCCTGATATGAGAAGTATTCGCTAACTTCTTTGGTTTGAGCGTCCGATTTATAACAACTAGACCCAAAACTGTTGTTTTATGCATCAAAACAAATAGGCTTTAGGGCTCCAATTTTGGGAAAACTGTTTGGACAAACAATTGAGTTCTCTTTGCTAATCTTGATCAAAGCAGAATTTTTTGCCCAACTCGTATGCTCTTGATAGCAAGTTGTTTGTGCCTGACAAGATGATTGTTTTCGTAACGCAGAAGAACTTACAATATGTTTTTCGACTGACTTGTGTGTGAAAGGTCCACCAGTCATTTGCTGTACACATATATCAAGGAAAGGAGGTTTGTTGTCAAACTCCTATTTCGGGCGTGAGTACGATTTCCTATAATGTTAAGTTAATAATGCTGCAAGACATTCCCAGTTGATCCGCTTTAACTACGATAGGTGTCGTGCACATACCCCATTCACGTATTTTAATTATCTGCTGACAGCACCGTAACCTGTAGTTTTTGAATCGTGAAGTCGGCAGGAAGATTAGAGATAGGTTATCCCATCGGGTCTATTTCGCCTATCAGAAATATTCATATGCAAACTAAAATTCAGTTTCCGGACTTAGTTCCGAATTCTTAAACAGAGCCGATAAAGAAAAATGCTAGTATTGGGACTGGAGGTCTTGCCTAGCCAAACTCAGTAGGACAGACGTGAAGAAAGAAACGGCACCGAATAAACTATTTTCGCATGTTTAGCATTTGTGAGTCCACGTATGTTGAGCAGGATCACTATTAAACTTTATGAAATTAACCTCATTCGGTGAAAAGTACTACCCAAAAATGGAAAGAGTCAAAACAACTTCACCCGTCTCTGGATTTCTTGTCCACGTAAAGATATAAAAATTTGGAAAAACTGCTTTGTGATGGCTAAAACATTGATAAATCAAGACCGGTGGTCCCTCTGACCTTACATGACTAATGCCCCCAGACAGCCCCCAAGT